GTTTCACTGCCAGCTTTACCTATCTTTCCAAGCACAGAAACAGAGAACATTTCAGTTTGGCTAGACAGGTCCATATTCTGTCTTGACTTTCACTTAAGGTAACTGAATGGAGAGTGCACCGAGCATAAATTGAAGATTCTGAGCAATGCTACCTGTTTAGTCATCTATAACATTTGTTTAAAACAGTACAAAAACAACCTGGTGAAGTCTTCTATCAGCACAAATAAAAAACTTAGCGTGTCTGATCATACAGATCTGATTTTATTTTGCCTTTGTTCCACACAGAAGCAGGGTTATCAAACAGCCTCTTATTGTGTACTTGCACAAAAGTCATTCCAGGCAAGACATTTCTTTTTATTAACATTTTTATTATGTCAGACTTGAACAACTGCAGCCAGTTCAATAGACAAAAAGGAAAAAACAAGTGCCCCAGATCCTTCTAACATTCTGATGTCTCAGAAGAACATTGCAGTTTATGCCAGTATAAAGAAGAAAGGATTCTATAATGTATGCTACTATCTGAAACAAGTGAGGACTGTCTCTGGTGAGGCCAAGTACACTGGTAAGTTTCCAGAACATTTATACTTGTTATGATGCCGTACATATAGCTCTACAATAAAAAAAAATATATGTATAACACCTGTTTATTTCTTGTCTTTAGCAAATGCTGTGTAATCTGCTTTTTCCTCAGTAACCCTTGCTTACATTATTTTAACACTCCTGCTTTAAATGGGGCAGACAAGGATTGTGAGGGCACTGGATTTTGTTTGTTTGTTTGTTTGTTTGTTTGTTTGTTTTTAAAGTTTAAACCTCTGACCCTTATTTTCCCATGTTGAGATGCCTGGAAATTTGCAGTCATGTTTAGAGTGTTACAGCAATATTTCTGCTATACTTACACTGTACAGCTATACTTAAGCTCCTAATATTCAAGCACTTAGATTGTCTTGACCTTTGCCATATCTCATGAGGAATGAAGTATGAGTTATGTCGACAAAAGATCTTTGTGACAGAAATCCCTGTATTGAGCAAAAACACCAAGATCATTTTTTTTTGCATACCAGGTTTTGATCTATGATTCTAATCATCCCCTGCTTGATCTGAGTTGCTCAGAGTAATAGCAAATTATGCAAGGCACGGGTTGTTCCTTTGGCAACTAATTCTGACAATCATATATATGGTGCATTAAAGTTTAGAATTTCATTTTTCAGTCTACACAAGAGCAAAATGTGCTTTGTAAACACATGCAGAAAGTTGGCAGGCAACTGTGACAGGAGCTGAGTCGCGCAAGATGTCATGCTAAGGTCTCTGAACCTGTGTTATACCTATGTGCTGTAGGTCTCCTGTACTTATTCTTTGTTCATGTTTGGTAGGAGATCTTTCAGAAAGTTGATGAGAACCTATATTTTGTTTTAAGGATTATTATTGTTATTATTAAAACCAAGTGTGACATGTAATGCCACATGGATGGGATTTTCCTGGACATTGGATATGAAGCAGGAATGAAAAGATTACATTACCTGCCTACCTGCAGCCTTCTCTGACTGATGGACCACAATGCTGAAATACATGTCCTATAGCTCTGTTCTTAAAAATGCTACCAATACTTTACACTGATGCATAAGACACCAAAACACAATTTTTTAATTATTGTAAAGGTTCTAGGTGAAGCCAACTGCCACTGTGGGGCTCCATCTCTCTGTACTTTAGGTAACACAAAGCTGTCCCACAAACCTCAAGATCCTCTTTTGCACAGGTACCTCATTGCAAGCCACAGGGCAGAAGCAAACCCTTCTGTGCACATTTTTTGTTACTCTGTGGTGTCAACTGACCTGGGTTCTCTCTGGGTTTGGAGAAGGACAAACATCACTGTTTCCTCAGCACAGCTGTGACCTATGTGCTGACCGCACAGCACAATCCAGTTGTGCACTGAGCTCCCCAAGCTTCATAAAGCATACAGAGGAGAGAGCCTTGCTTCAGAAATAGTGATGCCAGGCAGAGGCAAAGAGCTCCTAAGTGGGCATCAAAGCACTTTCACCAGTGGCACATTCAACGTGAACTGCGGCTCCCACTAAAATCATTGGCTTGCCACCCTGAACTGAGAGCTGTACAAATGGGCAGCGTGCCCTTCTGCTGAACCCTATTGATCTGCATGGAGCTTCAGACACAGATGTCCATTTGAATAGACCACAAAGCAGAGCTGAGGGAGGCTTCATAGACAAAAAACAAATTGTCATATTAAAAAAAAAAAAAAAAAAAAGAGGGAGTATGGAGTATCCTACCTTTCAGGCTCTAAACCAATTTCTAAATAATAAGGATTAGGATGAAGACAGCTTTACACCTGCAGGCTGGGGTTTCTGGCTTGTGCTTCTGCAGGTGTTTAATACACATCAGCAGCAGGAGTGAAGGTCCTATTAGCCCTGATCTACTCCAGCAATTTCCATCCTCATAAAGGAATGCCACCATTGGTACAATTTAAACTGATCACTTTAAATTAACTCAGAATGACAGTAGGCAATATTTCAGGACAGAAAGAAAGGAAATACCCCCACAATAGAAGTGTTTTGACAGAGAAATACATATATTTTGAAAAAGAATTTGGGATGGACATAAAAGCAGAACACTGTTCCTGCAAGAGAGGAGGCCAGGGTCTAGATTATATGTCTTCTCTGAGAAATGACACTTCATATAGAAAATTGCCCCTTTTTTGTCTTACTATGTCTTACTATAGTAGGGTATTATTTTAGTACCTGGACATTCCTCTGTGCTCTCCTGTCCAATTAGAGTAAAGGTCAGTCCAAAATAAGGATAAGTTAAGTTTATAAGGGCTGACAAGAAGACAGTAGGGGATAGAATGAATGCAATCATATTAATTCTGGGTAATGCTTTCCCACACATTAGCAATTCAGCTGTTGTGTTCAGAATGAGAATTAAAATAAGAACTGTGAACTTATGGCCATAAAAAAGTAGAACAGTACATCCAATTTTGCAGAAGTGCAAAAGTAGCATACTGCAACAGCATGCTGATATTACCAAAAGTAATAATATGCAAGGAAAACAGTTAGTGCAGCCAACAATGCAGCACAGGGGGAAGGCCTGGCCCTGGAGGAAGGCATGCTGTTTCTTTGCAGATTTTTAAAGAGAGCATCGATTCCCTCAGTGACGTGCCTTTGTTCTCTGACTCGTGCTGTCAGGCACCCACTGCATATCTATTCTGCTTCATTTAGGTTCACTCTGAGTGCTCTCTTCCCCTTAGGGGGCTGTCACTGTTAGTATTGCAGGTCCAGTCCTTTTCACTTCTTGGTCAGCTATAATCAGTGAAGTCAAATACACGCAAGATAATCATCAGAACTGCCCCTGTGATTATTATTCTTTGCTTTTTTGACAAGTCATTGAAAGCAACATGAGACAGAAATGACTTTTCTCATTGTTTGTACCTGCATGAATGTCCTGATCCTGGCAGCAGCTTTTATTTCAGCAAGACAGGAAGCTGTAGTGAGTTAATTTGGGGTCCAGTTACTACAAAAAGTGGAGAGGGGAAGCACAAGGTCACCAGCTGTTTTCTCCTTAATAGCTGAAAAGTCTCTGTCTCTTCACGCCTACAGATAGTGCTTTGAGATGTCACTGACAGAGCAAACAATACAATAACATAAAAATATCATACCGGGTCAGAACATTTATTTATTCACCATCATCTTTCTAGTATTGATTGCAGTGGATGCTTAGGGAAAGACTGTAGGAAAATTTTCTTTTAATATGTTGACCCAGTGAGTTCCACTATTATATAGGGAAAAGCAATACTTTTCATATATATAAATTGCTGTCTTGAAATGTCTGTTTCCCCTCTGTTTATTTCAAAGCAAAAATGAAATTTGTTCACCCCTTATTTTCACTATACCTTTCAGTCCTTTCAGTACAATGAACATCAATCATTCTGCATTCAGTTTTCTCTTTTCCAAGATGAAGAATGCTAGTTTATCTAGTTTTCCTCAAAAATACTTCTCTTATTTCTCTTCACCTTTCTCTAAGTCTCTCTAAGTACTATTTTAAACTTTTCTGGGGCTAGACTGCACATAACAGGCATGCTATCAATTAAATAATGGCATGATATACTTGATTCTCTATTGCTGAGTCAGATCCAGTCCTGAGGTTTCATATTTTATTGGGAGGACATGGGTTTCAGTCAGAGCAAATCATAGGTAGTCTACTGTGAGATAGCAGAGCAGTGCAAGCTAAGAAAAATACAACTTGGCAAGAATGTTATTTGTGGTTGTGATCATGTTACCAGAGATATTTCTAAACTGTAAATCCTGAAGGCCATGATTAGCTCATGTTCCCAGAGTATGCCTCAAACGAAATATATTGCAAAAGATGTTCCAATGTTGCTATATGCACTACATTAAAGGATGCCTCAAATGGGCTAGATAGAATGGAGATGGGAGAAGGATACTTACCCATGGATTAATTCAAAGATCTGTTATGATAATGTTCTTATCCCATGGACAAGTTTATAAAGAGGTGACAGTAAAATATATGGTGGAGAGCATATATATATATATATATATTTATATAATAAATTAAACAAACAAACAAAAAACCTACATTTGGTTGGTTTACTATTTATTATATTTTTCACTGCAGTGCTAATCCATGGGAAGTCTTTATATTCATATTAAGTGACAGAACCTTGGAATGATCCTGGCATTGCTTCTTTAGGGATACCTACATGCTTTCAATGTGTCTGTACTAACTATATGACACTACAGAGAAACCTTCCTAAAATGTGAGAAATGTTCACACCATGAGCAAAAGTTTGTGCAGCATTTGAGCAAATGTAACAAGAACAAAGAACCCATGGGCTGTGATAATGACATTTTAATAAGTAAGAAAAAAAAAGAAAAGGAAAGAAGAGCAACAACAACAAAAAAGCAACAAAACAGTAACAACAAAAACAATAAACAAAAATAATAAACAAAAAAGTGATTCACAATGAGATTACTCACCACTGTAACTCACTCAGCAACAGCAGTACCCCTTTACCATCTCTCCCAGCTGTTGATGCCGCACGGTATGGGACATCCCCTTGTTCAGCCTGGGCCAGCTGTCCTGGCTGTGTCCCCTCCCAGCTCCTGGTTCACTCCCAGCCCCCTCACTGCCAGGGAAGCATGAGGAGCAGAAAAGTCCTTGGCTCTGTGTGAGAACTGTTCTGCAACAACTAAAATAATGTGTTATCAGCATCATTCTCATCAAAACTCCAAAAGAGAGCTAAGAAGAAATTTTTCTACTAAGAAGAAAATTATCCCAGATGAAATCAGGACAACCACAAATCTCATCACCAGGTACCATATCCTTGAAAACTGTTTACATGGTTCGTACATACACTAGTTGTCACTCTGGACATGCCTATAGCATACACATTTAGTTACTAGCTTGTTTAAATTACAAGCATTTTTTTTCCCTCTAACTTTTATTTGCTCAAGTCTGATAAGAAATTCAGTGTTTAACTTCTATGCGATGCTTGGGGGGAGGAGTTAGAAAAGGGTGCATGGAGGGAAGGTGTTTTTAGTTTGTTTTTAGTTTTTCACTGCCCTAGTCTGTTACTAATAGATAATAAATTATATTAATCTGCTTATGGTGAGTCTGTTTTGCCCACCCATGATGATAATTGGTGAGTGATCTCCCAACCCTTATATCCCATCTTGCCTTTTCATCCTATTTTCTCCCCCTTATTCTTTGTGGAGGGGGAGTGACATAGCGGTCATGGTGGAGCTCGGCTGACCAGCTGAGTAAAACCACCAGAGCAGAGAAGATCACAACCACTCTCAGACCTGACAGAGAAGGTTTGCAGTATCTGTTTTCCACAAAAAGCTCATTTCTTCTGCAAGTCCAACTAATCCTGGAGGAAGACAACCAATATCTCTTTTCTCTTACAACATACATACACATGCAATATCCCCTTCCTCTTACTACCTACATAGACACACCACACACACATACACACACACACAAAGTGATTGTGGCAATAACTTTTATTGTTTACAGCTACTTTCACTACTATGTGTACAAAACTTCTTACAGAGAAACTGTTCCAGAACCCTAAAGAAAATGTAACAGTTTAAAAAAGTGTACAGTCAAGAACTGAGATTTCTGATGAGGTTTACAGAAGTACGTACTTCAGATGGGAATCATTCTTGCAAAAAATTATGTAGCTGACATCTGGTCTACAGCATAATTTGACAAGTCAGTGCAAGACTCGGGAGAGAGAGAAAACATACATACATACACAGTTAGCATACAGGATTTGAAAGTGAGGGAAGGTAAAAGAAAACAACTAAAAGAGAGACTGAAACTGAAAATTAAAAAGCAATGGGAGACACCAGTTTCTATAGGGGTTTGAGAGGCTCTGCCACTGTCCCCATACAGAGTCTATATGTTCAGAGGCTTTAGTAATGTGTTCCCAGCTTGATGTACAGGCTGGCAGTAATGGTCAGAGAAGGATGGTGCTCTGGAACATTTGAACATAAGAGGGAGTACTGTTATGAAAAGACCATGGATTTATGTGTACTGAAGATTGGATATGGAATCAACAGTCAAGGTTGAAACACAGCTTTTAATAAGTAAAAAGGCAGGCATCACACATGGTTAAAGACATGTTTAGGATTTTGTCATGTTATTTCAAAGCAGAAAACTGAACCCCTACCAACAGATAGGAAGTGAAGCAGTTGGGAATAGCTTAACAAGAGTTACAATTATTACAACGAACAAAATGAGACCAATTTACTGAGAAAGTTCTTCATATTGTCAACACAATTGTTTCTGGAAATAACGAAGACACAAGAGTGAGAAGCTCCTAACGGCCATAAGCGTGCACAGAGGAGCAATAAGCCTGTAATCTGTACACAGAGGTTTCAGAACACGTTTCTGCTTGGAACCCCTGTTATGCAATCAAAAGGACACATCTGTCCCTTATTGCTTGAGGTTTTCAGGATTTTTTTCTAAGGAAGGGGGTGATAGGTGCATGTATGTAGTAAGAAAGTCATTATCAACACACCATCACCTTTACAGATATTCTGTTTTGAACAGTACTTTAAAAATTTTGCTTGATACTGGAAGCCCTTGAAATCTTTGTCCTGTAAATCAGCCCTTGAAACGCTGAATTACTTCATAACAGTAGTATATAAGAAATGACACTGTGATAGAATTTATTGGATGTCTGAATGTTCTCTATAAAAAAAAATGAATCTAACGATACATTTTCCACTGCATTTTGTCAAGCTTCTTATTTGTTGCTGTCTTGTTTACCAATGGCTACTGATAACACTTTTTAAAACACTGTTAGAAATTTGGGCTGGGACTCTGAGACAAAGACAACTTAGTCAGTGAAGACCTAAAGCTTGATTCAACTGATGCTTCATGTCATCTAACAAACTAATGTTATTCTCTGCATACATCTAGCCCTACATCTTTGCAGGGCTGGCAGACACATTGGGATCAGGATCTGTGGAGACACAATTTGGTTCAGCACTTGGAGGCCAGGCAGTCTACACCATATAACATTTCAGTCGGCAGTTGCTACCTATATTTAAGGGACTTATATGAGCTCCTAATCAATGTCTCCATGGAATGATTCAGCTTTTAGTCACGGATTATCTACTTTAAATGAGATAAACAACTCTGTAAGCTCCATCACTGTATGCAGGCTTAGATGTCATATGTGTACAGGGATACAGTGTAGGCAGCAAGCCCATGCCTCAGATGAGACTGTTTGTTTGTAATCTCTAGTCTTTTTTTTTTTTTTTTTTTTTTCATTTCTGTATTTTTCTGGGCTTATCAATGACTTGTCATGACTTGAATGTCACTGTTTTCAAAGACTCAGTTTTTAAGGACAGAAAGGACCATTAAATCATCTGATTTCCATTCAAGGAGAGACAAGACTATAGGATACCATTTACCATTCAGCCACCCTAGCTGAACTAAGTCAACAGCCTTAACACAATAGCATGCCAGCAGAGTGTTTTTAGCTTTGATTTGAAGACATCATGGGATTAAAGCACTGCTGCTCCCTTTAGTAGTTTGTTCCACAGGGGACTATACATCCTAACGGTGAAAATACATGCCCTGTTTTTTATGTGAATTGCCTTATTTTGTTATCAATGATTTTATATTCACGTTCAGTCACTGACTGAAACGATTTAATACTAAGGAACCCTACTAGTTGAGCTTCTGTGCAACTATGATTCCCCACTGACAGCTCATTTTTAAGTTCTAGTCAGTTTGGCAGTTCTTAATCCCTTTAAAATGCTCTTTACTGGCACTTCATAATGCTTTTTCTGTAGTCAAGGTGTTATAAGTGTTTAATAAAACACCTAAGTACATTCCATCTTTGCTTTTATTTTTATGAATCCATTTCCAATGATATGAAAGAATGAAATCATGTTTCTTTGAGAAGGCTTCTTTTCCATGATATTAAGTTGCCTGGTCTTAATTATATTTTCATCCTTTCATTTTCAGCCTGGTTTCCTACAGAAATGTGATACTGTCTAGTTGTTTGTTTGTTTGTTGATCAGTCTCACTTAAGAAACTGTGAGCTGACCGGGAATTTCAAATATATTTGGCAGGATACTAGAGATTTAAAAGGTTTCATGTTTCTGTTAAAAATAATAAATAAATAAGTAAAAATATAAAGAGGCCATTTCAATTACCCTGTCTACATGGCTACATGAGCCCTACTTTTACTAGACATCAGACTTAATAGATTCTCAAGTCTTGGCTTTCAAGTCCTCATTGTTTCTTTTACCTACAGAATCTTCTGCTTGTTCTTTGAATCCAGTCTCAGCTACTCATTTTTGCCTAGGATTCCTGTCTGGCTAACTAGCTAAGTATCACAAAATCAAATTTAATGGCTAACCCTAGGATTTTTCTATAATTCTAGAATGTCTCTGATAACTGCTTTGGACCTGCTGGCTGCATTCTTGCTAATACAGTCAAAGATGTATTAAGCTTGACAAGCTTGAAAAATGGGTCCACATTAACCTAATGAGGTTCAACAAGTCTAGATGTAAGATGCTGCGCCTGGGTTGGGGCAATCACAGACATGGGCACAGAATGGGAGAACTTGTTGAGAGCAGCCTTGAAGAGAAGGACTTGCGGGTTCTGGTGGATCAAAACCTCGACATGAACCAGCAGTGTGCACTTGCAGCCCAGAAGGTCAACTGTGTCCTGGGCTGCATTAACAGAGGAACAGCCAACAGGGTGAGGGAGGTGAGTGTGCCCCTCTGCTCTGCCCTTGTGAGACCCCAGTTGGAGTGCCGCATCTAAGTCTGGAGCTCCAGCATGAGGAGGATGTGGAACTATAAGAGGAGGGCCACGAAGATGATCAGAGGGCTGGAACACCTCTCCTACAAAGAAAGGCTGAGAAAACTGGGGCTATTCAGTGTAAAGAAGAGAAGGCTCCAGGATGACCTCATTGCAATCCTTCAATACTTAAAGGGGGCTTGTAATAAAGATGGATAATCAGATTTATTATTTACGGGACAAACAAGAATGTTTTCAAACTAAAATAGGGGAGATTTAGATTAGGGATTAGGAAGAAATTCTTTACTCTGAGGGTGGTGAGACACTGGAACAGGTTGCCCAGAGAGGTTGTGGATGCCCCATCCCTGGAGGTGTTCAAGACCAGGTTGGATGAGGGCCTGAGCAAACTGATCTAGTGGGTGTTGTCCCTGCCAATGTCAGGGGGGTTGGAACTAGGTGATATTCAAGGTCCCTTCCAATGTGAGCCATTCTATGATTCTGTGATTTTGTATTTTATTTTTTTTTTTTAAATCTGATTTCTTAGATTCAGGTGCACACTGTTGGTCCATGTTCAATTTGTTGAACACCAGGATTTTCAGATCTAAAAAAAATATATATATAATAAGTTTTATAAGGTGCCTGGACAAGACTTTCTGGGGATTTTTTTTTTGTTTGTTTTGTTTTTGTTTTGTTTGTTTTTGTTTTGTTTTAATGGGGATTTTTTTCTTTTATTATTGTTCTTTAATGAATTTTTATTAATGGGCCAGAGAACACTGTCATTTTGATATGAGTGATTTTTTATTTTTATTTTTT